TCTTCCACAATGGTTGGACTAATTTACACTCCCACCAACAGTGTAAAAGTGTTCCTTTTTCTCCACATCCTCTCCAGCATCTGTTGTCTCCAGATTTTTTAATGATCGCCATTCTAACTGGCGTGAGATGGTATCTCAATGTGGTTTTGATTTGCGTCTCTCTGATGACCAGTGACGATGAGCATTTTTTCATATGATTGTTGGCCTCATATATGTCTTCTTTCGTAAAGTGTCTGTTCATATCCTTTGCCCACTTTCAAATGGGCTTGTTTGTTTTTTTCCTGTAAATCTGTTTGAGTTCTTTGTAAATTCTGGATATCAGCCCTTTGTCAGATGGGTAACCTGCAAAAATTTTTTCCCATTCTGTTGGTTGCCGATTCACTCTAGTGACTGTTTCTTTATTGTTTCAAAGTGTGGCACCTCTTCCCTTGCTCTCTTGCTCCCCTTCTTGCTGTGTCACATGCCTCCTTCTGCCTGCTTCTGCTTCACCTTTTGCCTTGAATAAAAGCTTCCTGAGTCCTCACCAGAACCTGAGCAGATGCTGGCACCATGTTTCTTGTATAGTCTGCAGAACCGTGAACCAATTAAACCTCTATTCTTTATAAATTACCCAGTCTCAGGTATTTCTTTATAGCAATGCAAGAATGGACTAAGACAACTACAACTCTCCATCCAGAAAAAAATAGAGATCTCCTCCCTCTCACCATAAAAAATTCAGTTAAAGCTTAAAATATTAAAACAGATACCATCTAAAATAGTAAAAGAAAATTTTGATAAATATTTTAATACCTCAGGATAAGGAAGCTTTCTTAAGAGAATAAACCCTGAAGTGATAACGAAAATAGATATTTATTTCCTTATAAAAACATCAGCATCTACAACAAAATCATTGTATAGCTAGAGACTTTGTAACGAAATTGATAGGCTAAGAGAAAACATTCTTAATTTTTAAGGAAAAGGTTTAATATTCTGCATTTAATCATCAGAACCTATTAAATATGTGTAGTACATGTCAGGCACCTTTTTGTGAGGATATTGAACTGAACAAACTTGATTAACTTTCCTGACTTCTATGCCCTTAACCATTAACAGATAACCAGTACTTAAAATTGATTTTAAAAAAGAGACAACCCAGTAGAAAAATGGCAAGTTTCAGAAGAAGAAATGAATATGACTAAAGGTAAAGATACAAAAATACAAACAAAATATGAATATATCACTTCTTTTACATAGATTGGCAGAAATGAAAGGAATGATAACATTGAGGGTAGGCCAAATTGTAAGGCTTTAGGCTCCCACATTGTTGGTGGAACTGTGAATTGCTACAGCTGATATAAATAGGCTGATACTTTTTAGAAATCTATCAAAAATAAATAAAAGCCTTGGTACTTTAGGTTATATAAACAAGTATATACTTGTCACATATTTGTAAAAATTGAACTGGGCACAACTTGGGTAACCATTAATTTAAAAATGGCAGAAGAAATTATGGAGCATTCTTAAGAATGGGCTAGATATGCAGATATGACACAGAGAGATATCTATGTTAGGTGCAAGAGCAAGTTGTGGGATGCAGCATGACTGATCTCATTTCTTAAAGTGGTGGCAAATAACACATATACAAAGGAAAAATTCTATGTGTCTGTATGTGATAGGTATGGAGTAAGACATGCAGACTGTTTTGTGTATACTTCTGTATTTAATTTGTTTCACTGAGTGTTATTACTTCTGTAATTAAAAGAACAAAGAACTGCTAACCATACTGGGTCAATTAATGGATCTATCTAGTGATAGTTGGAAATATTGGGTCACAGAGAGCCATGACTTCATTATGTTGATGTAATGCATAAAGTGTTATGCATTAAGTAATTTTAGTTCATGATTATGATTGTTCAACCAACATAAAATAAAAATCTTTTTTATTCCCCTCCCCCCTAGGCCCCACATACTTGATTATGTCTTTTTGGGGCAAAAATGCCATTTATATGAAAGCTAGGTGTCAGAGCATTTATTTAAAAAATCAATAATCAATGATTAAAAATATGTGAAAATTGTTTAAAGGTGTGATAATATTCATAGGTACTTAGTATAGTGAAATGACTACTTGAAGAAAAGTTCGTAACCCAGGAATCCAGATCTTATTTGCAGACTAAGTACCTGAATGACATTTGCCAACTTGTGTATCCTGCTAAGGTCTTGATTTTGTCCCAAGGATTTTTTCCAGCTCTAGAATAGATTGAACCTTATAATTTAAGATGTATCCTGGACATTTTATTTATTATCCTTATATTTGAGGAGCACTTTTTAACAAAGTACTTTTATAGTCATGATCTAATTTGATCTTACAATTACCTTGTGAAGTGAGTGGATAGGTAGAGAAGTTGAATCAATGTTCTTGGACTCTATGGGCTCCCTTTCTACTATTCACTATTTAGCCTTTGCTCTGCTTTTCCTGTTTACATACATTCCCTCCTTCATCCATTCATTTGGTTTCTTCACCTCCAACCTCTCTACTTTCTTCCATATCATGAAGACATGATTGCGAGTTAGTGGGATTAAATTTTGTGAGTCTGAGAAGCTGGTTAAAAAAAAGTAGAAAAAGTGCTGGGCATGGTGGCTCATGCCTGTAATCCCAGCACTTTGGGAGGCTGAGGTGGGTGGATTGCCTGAGGTCAGGGGTTCAAGACCAGTCGGACCAACATGGGGAAAACACGTCTCTACTAAAAATATAAAAATTAGCTGCATGTGGCTCATGCCTGTAATCCCAGATGCTTAGGAGGCTGAGGCAGGAGAATTGCTTGAAACTGGGAGGCGGAGGTTGCCTTGAGCCAAGATCTTGCCATGCACTCCAGCCTGGGCGACAGAACAAGACTCCGTGTCAAAAAAAAAAAAAAGTAGAAAAAGTGAAAGACAAATTAAACACTTGCTTATTGAATACTTAGAGTGGATTGCACACTGTTCTACACATCTGGGGTGCATGCATGCCCAAACCCACTTCTGCCCGTCAAGCACCTGCTGTTGTATGCTCAGGAATTACTAGTGTGGCTGAGAAGGTTGGCCATCAAAGATAGAAGAGAAATAGGACAATACTTTCTCAGGTGGTTGGGCAGCAGAGAATATGGAGAGAAATCTGAAATAAAAGGTATAATTATAAGGGAAAATATGATCCAGGTTTGGTCAAAGTTTAAAAAAAAAACCCTCAGATCAGAAATATAGTTTAAAGAAAAACGTGAAGTCAGAAAATCTGATTTAAATAGGAACACAGGTGAGAAATAAAAGATTCAGAGTTTGTAAAGTGTCAGACTTGACAGAGAAGGGTAAGAGAAATGAGACTGACTATGAATTTTAAGGACTTTTAGGGGGGCTGGCAGGGAGCCTAGGTTCCTAAAAAGATGTTGAACTAATTATATAGGAAGAAATTAGAAATATGCTATACAATAAAAGTTGGCCTATATTGCTTTTTCAAAATAGAAGACTTTTCCTTTTTTAAAACAGTTTATTGTATATTCATTTAGCTCTTCAGATGCATATACTAAAGCAGATAGGATCAGATTATATATAGTGTTTTGTACCTTTTTCTTCTACTTAGTTATACTTGTGATGTCTATTTATATCTGGAACTATTGATAATATTTTGTTTTATGGCTCTTCCATGCTTCAGTTTTATTCAAATTAGTTCTAGTTTTTCTCTGATTATAAAACAGAAAATTAGTTCTAATTTTTCTCTCATTGTAAAATTTATAAATATATAAGCATATAAAAATACTTATAAATGCTTTCTCTGAAAAAACACTCAGGTTGGCCGGGCGCGGTGGCTCACGCCTGTAATCCCAGCACTTTGGGAGGCCGAGGCGGGTGGATCACGAGGTCAACAGATCGAGACCATCCTGGTCAACATGGTGAAACCCCGTCTCTACTGAAAATACAAAAAATTAGTTGGGCATGGTGGTGCGTGCCTGTAATCCCAGCCACTCAGGAGGCTGAGGCAGGAGAATTGCCTGAACCCAGGAGGCGGAGGTTGCGGTGAGCCAAGATCACGCCATTGCACTCCAGCCTGGGTAACAAGAGCAAAACTCCGTCTCAAAAAAAAAAAAAAAAAAACCACTCAGGTTTATTAAATATACTTCAACATGTTTAAATAAAATTTAAGTTGTAAATACTTTTATTTTTCTTTGAGACAGGGTCTCACTCTATTGCCCGGGCTGGAGGGCAGTGGTGCAATCATGTCTCACTACAGCCATGACCTCTCAGGCTCAAGTGATCCTCTCACTTCAGCCTCCTACCTAAGTCTCCCGAGTAGCTGCAGCTACAGGTACACATCACTACACCTGGCTGATTTTTAAGTTTTTTGTAGAAATGAGATTTTTCCATGTTGCTCAGACTGAACTCGAACTCCTGTTCAAGCAATCTGGCCATCTCATCCTACCAAAGTGCTAGGATTAGAGGTGTGAGCCTCTGCACCTGGCCTGTAAATGCTTTTTAATCTCTTATATTTCTGCTTCTATATGGTGAATCCCTAAAAGTAAAGCGGCTGAATAAAAAGAGATCACATTTTATGTAAGCATTTATTAAACAAGTGCTTATTAGAGTCTTCTCTGGAGCTAGCTTTAAAACAATATGGAGATGAGACTGTTATTTCCCTTTAGCATTTTTTTTTGTATTTTCAGCAAACTGTAGGTTGAACATACATTTTTAAATTAAGTTTTAGATTTGAATATACAGATTGGTTCTACCTTTTATGAAGTGGGTAGTTTTGAGTAAATTTCTTAATTCCTTCTGAAAGGTGGTTATTATAAGGATTACATATACACAAAGACACAATGGGGAGACAAGTTTGGAATATATTATAGTCTAACGGGAACAAAAGGTCATTTATTTGCTTCTTAATTTCCTGCGTATTATTGTAACTTCACAGATATAAGGATAAAGAAGCTGAGTTGTCACGAAGTTATTTAAAGTAACATTAAAATTAAGAGAGATAACTGGTTTTTGTCTTCAAGGTTGCTATGAGACTTAGCAGTTCACGTGCCCCCAGTGGCATCTTGCAGTGGAAGGAAACCGGATTTTTTTCAGTTCTTAACCATGTGCCAGGCCCTGTGCAACCAGTATATGGCAGAGCTGGGATATGAACTCAGGTCTGACTCCATACTTCATGTTTTCTCCATTCCACAGTCATTGGTTCTGTTATCCTGAAGTAGTCCATTGTTTCTTAACTTAAATGTTAGGGTCATTATGTGGTAAGCTTTGCCAGCAGTGTATTACAGTGAGTTAGTAGGTACTTGATCTGACAAAGCAAGGTTCTTGAATAAAGTGGAATCGATGGTATATATATTCCCTGGATTTAACTGAAGTGGATCCAATCAGTGTGTGGTGTGCTGTTTCTTAGCAGACCTCTCATTTTAATTTCCATGACTTTTTGACTCCCCAAATCTGAAATTTTCTGAGCTTCTGGGACCATGTTTTTATTTAGTACAAATTTCTGGAGAAAAGTGTTAACTGCACCAAATCCACATAGTTATTGGCAGAGGCTGGACTAAAGGCCAATGGAGACTCCATTCTGGGGTCTTTCCGGTGTACTCACTCAGCCCTGATAGCCACACCCACCCTGATAATATTAATAAATACCACAGCAATGATGCTATAATGGCTAACGTTTATTAAGCACTTCCTTCATGACAGGCACTGTGACAGGCTTCACCAACATTATCTCATCAAGTCTTTGTAACAACCCTATCATGTGGGTACTGGAGAAACGGAGGCTTGACTAGCAATGAGTCAAAAGTTGCCCTGCTGGTCAGTTGTAGAACAGGCCTCCCAACCCAGCAGTGTTTGACTTCAGAGTCTGAGCTTTCTCTGCCCTGTCTACTTTTCAATGTGGTATCTGAAGATGTCATGCACACTTAAACTTCTAGGTCCTTTCCAAAGAAACATGAGGTAGTTTTAAACTAATATGTATTATTTGAAGTATCTAGTAGCTATTCTTTCAAAAAGCTTTGTTTTGCCTGTAAGCAAAAACCAGCTCTTCACTTTTCAAAGGTTTGTCTTTGTGGCCCTGAGCTGTTTGGTATCAGGCACTGTATTACCTTTTTCATCTCTTTTCCTCTCCTGCTATACCTTTCACATAATAAGCAATTTAGAAATATTTGCTGAATATTTCTGAAAGTGAAGTCATATTAAACAGGGGGCTCCAAAAACCCAAGTTTGCATAGTGGCCTTAGTTTGAATCATTATACACTGTATGTTTTTCATTTATGTAAAAATCCATTAATAGGGAAACTTGATGGCAGTCTCCTCAAAAAATATTTCTTGAATGAAGAAATGATGAACTACCCTTGAAAAGTTGCATTTTCTTTAGAGTTTTTTTTCCCATCAGTAGTTTATATTTTTGAGGCCAGGTGTCATGGCTCACTCCTGTAATCCCAGCACTTTGGGAGCCTAACGTGGGCGGATCACTTGAGCTCAACAGTTCAAGACCAGCCTGACCAACATGGAGAAACTCCATCTCTATTAAAAATACAAAAATTAGCTGGGTGTCTATAATCCCAGCTACTCGGGAGACTGAGGCAGGAGAATTTCTTGAACCTGGGAAGTGGAGATTGCAGTGAGCCGAGATTGTGCCACTGCGCTCCAGCCTGGGCAACAAAGCTAGACTCCACCAAAAAAAAAAAGTTTCTATTTTTCTTTTAATTGTGGTAAAACATATATAATATAAAACTATTTTAACTTTTTAAAAATCCTTTTTCTTTCCTCCAAAATTAGATGTCATATTTTAACTGTTTTTAAGTATATAGTTCTATGGCACTAAGTACATTCACAAAGTTGTACAGACATTACTATCATCCATTCTCCCAAACTTTTCTTTGAGTTTGAAGCCTGTAAATAAAACATTTTCAAGGCTCTACCTGTTATTCAGGCAGTTTAAGTGGAAATATTGCGTTCATTGCTTTATTTGGGATATAGTAACCTTAAAAAAATCAGTTGATTACTAAATGCCATTCTCTTTCTTTCCCCTAGTGGAATGAGACCGTGGAGCTTTTTCGTGCTAAGATGCCGTTACGGAAACATCGCTGTCGTTTCAAGAGCTATGAGCATTGTTTCACAGCAGCTGAAGCTGTGGACTGGCTGCATGATCTGCTGAGGTGCAATCAAAACTTCGGCCCTGAAGTGACTCGCAAACAAACGATCCAGCTGCTAAAAAAATTCCTCAAGAATCACGTTATTGAAGACATTAAGGGAAAATGGGGTCAGGAAGATTTTGAAGACAATCGTCACTTATACAGGTAATGGCAACATGTAACCTGGAAGGTGAGGAATCATGGGGGATGAGTGAATTTGCTCCAACTCTGTTGAAGCTTCCTGATGTGTAAGAATTTACCTTGTTCACTGCATAGTGGGTCTAGTTGTGATTTGTTGAGTGGAGAACAGAATGTGTTGCTACAATAAAACCAATTGCAATTTTTCTTGGCCTCTTAGAGCACCCCAGAGCTGTGTTTTGTTGCAGTGTTTTTTCAGTAAGGAAATTTTTCATGCCTTTTGCTCACCTGGGAAGATGGTGGCCATACTTAGTCCTTCTCCTAGAGAATCTGAAATGGGTGAAACAGTAGCTCCGGGTTAGCTTTTCTAAGCAATGGGGTTTGGTATGTTCAGGAGGTTAGTAGCAGAGTGTTTGTGATCTTTAAACAGCTCAGGGCCCATGTGAACAATTATGCTAGAATTCCCTGATGTCTCAGATTAAGCCTGCCAATGTGAGTCTGCTTTTCTGCAAATACTTTTGCCCATGTTTCAGTGCTATTTTATGATATGGACACTTACCACCAGATAATCCAAGGGAAAATGAAGATTGCTCGTCTTGCACTTCCCTTCTCAATGCATACTTGGCAGTTTTATTGCTGGAGGTGGAGGGGACCAACCTAAGATTCACATATGGGAGAAGACCAAAGAGGAATGCAGTCACACAGGTCTATAAAGGAATTGTTGGACTATATACAAAGATTAAGGGAAGGAATGGAAAATATGGACCCTTAATATGTGCTTTCTTTTACTCCAGCTAAAAAATAAGGAGTATGATTATAATATGTTCAGTCAGGGTATTCCACTGGGACACATGGCTTTGCACAGGGAAAACCTGGCTCTTTCATACCGGAACCATTTCTTTGTCCCCCTCTTGGCCTAGCTGCTGAGAAAGGCAGAGCAGGGTGTGAGGGTGTCTTTTGTGATTGCACAAGGTGAAGAACAGACATGCTGTACATTAGAATCTAACTTCCTTGTGGAGTTTCATCAGCAGTCTCTTGCGCCCAGTTATCAGAACTGTCATCTAGGCAATTAGTCATCTCTCCATTTGGTGGTTAGTTTTGACTTTGCTGATCCCACTTTTAAGTAGGATATATGGTGTAATCTTGACCTATTCTGAGACCTTAGTACTTAATAGCATCAGACAGTGGAAATTTTAGCCTTGATTCTATATGCCACACTTTATTGGGAATTTTTAAATGATTATTTCTCTTGGGAAACTTTAATTGCTTGTACCCCATCAAGATTTAGCTAGAACGCTTCTGAAAGATTCTCCGGATGAGTAACTTCCAGTCTGTTCTATTGTGACCTTAAATTGGGTACCTCCCATCGAGTCTTAGGAGGCTTTATGAGTCCTCGGCAGAGTAAAATAGGAGCCAACCACCCAGCACTAACTGCCAGAACGTGTTTCACTTCAATATTAAGACTTAACCATGTATTATCCCTTTTTAAAAAATAGAGTGTACATGACAGATTAAATTCATATATTAAATATTAATTTTTTTTTTCCAGTTTCTCTCCTAGAATACTTGTGAGTCATACATGGAACAGTATTTTTTGTTTCTTCATTTACTACCTGAAAGTTCATTCTGGCTTTCCATTTTGTTGAGTGGAAGTTGTGTAAGTTAACCACTGACTTTTGCCATTTACCGAGATTAATCTGGGGTGAAATCTATTTAGACATGTAAATCATTTGTTAAGGTACCCGGCCTTGAATTGAGAGTGAGCTAATGAGTTGCATACATGCAGGCTTCTATTACATGCCAGTGCTCCAGGAAAGAGGATTTGCTGTCCTACCTGCTGTATCTCAACTGCTTTTCTTGGGTGAAGAATACTACTGCCAAGTTATGAAAACAGAGGAGGATAGTTTGAATGAGAGGCAGGTTAGATTTGAAAATAGATGGAGAAGGCTGGGCGCAGTGGCTCATGCCTATAATGCTAGCACTTTGGGAGGCCGAGGTGAGCTGATTACCTGAGGTCAGGAGTTTGAGAACAGCCTGACCAATGTGAGAAAACCCCTGTCTCTACTAAAAATACAAAATTAGCTGGGCATGGTGGCACATGCCTGTAATCCCAGCTACTTGGGAGACTGAGGCAGGGGAATCCCTTGAACCTGGGAGGTGGAGGTTGTGGTGTGCTGAGATCATGCCATTACACTCTAGCCTGGGCAACAAGAACAAAACTCTGTCTCAAAAAAAAAAAATAGATGGAGAGTCAATGAAATGTCAAAATCCAGGAACATCATTCTGATTATCCAGCTTTGTCGAAAGGAGCCTTTAAAAATTTATTTATTTAAATTAAATTTCATTAATTTTAAATTTATTTATTTAAATTTTAGTTTAATTTATTTATTTTTATTACTGTATAATAATGGTGCATATTTAGGGAGTACTGAGTGATATATTGATCCAAGTATCCAGTGTGTAATGATCAAATCAGGGTAATCAGAATATTTATCACCTCAAACATTTTTCATTTCTTTGTGTTGGGAATATTCAAAAATTCCTTGTAGAATGAGTTAGGAAGAATTCTCTTCAATTTCTTGGAATAATTTGAGAAGAATTGAAATTAATTTTTCTTGAAAGGTGTGGTAGATTTTATTAGTAAAGCTGTCCAGTCCTGGACTTTTCTTCATTAGGAGACATTTTATTATGATTCAGTCTTGTTGCTTGTTATTGATTGTTATCTATTCAGATTTTCTATTCATTTCTGATTCAATCATGGTAAGTTGTATGTGTCCATGAATATATCCACTTCCTTTAGGGTTTCCAATTTGTTACTTGTATTTATTCATTAAATAAGTTTTCTATGCCTTTTCCCATCTCTTCATGTTCTGAAATGCTCAAGATAGACTTGTTTATTTGCTTAATGGTATCCCATATGTTTTGTAGGCTCTATTTTCTTTTTTCCTTTTTCTTTATTTTTATCAGATGGGGTATTTCAAAAGACCTGTCTTCAAGTTAAGAAAGTTTTTCTTCTGCTTGATCTAGCCTATTGAAATGTTGGTTGTATGTTTTTTATTTCATTAATCGAATTCTTAATTTCCAGGATTTCTGTTTGATTCTTTTTAATTATACCTATCTTTTTATTAAATTTCTCATTCAGAGCTGGGTGTGGTGGTGTGTACTTGTAGTCCCAGCTACCCAGGAGGTGAGAGTATTGCTTGCGTATGGGAGTTTGAGTCCAGCTAGGGCAACATAGTGAGACCTTGTCTCTTTAAAAAAATGTATGTTATTCAGATCACAAGTTATTTTCCTCATTTCTTTGTATTGTCTGTGTTATTTTGTATCTTACCGAGCTTCCTTGAGATCATTATTTCAAATTCTTTTTCAGACATTTCATTGATTTCCTTTTCTTTCAGATCTGTTAATGGAGAATGATTGTGTCCTTTTGGAGGTTTCATGTTTCCTTGCATTTTCATGTTTTGTTTTCTTTTGTTTTGTTTTTTAGACGGAGTTTTGCTCTTGTTACCCAGGCTGGAGTGCAATGGCACGATCTCGGCTCACCGCAACCTCCGTCTCCTGGGTTCAGGCAATTCTCCTGCCTCAGCCTCCTGAGTAGCTGGGATTACAGGCACGTGCCACCATGCCCAGCTAATTTTTTGTATTTTTAGTAGAGACTGGGTTTCACCATGTTGACCAGGATGGTCTCGATCTGTTGACCTCGTGATCCACCCGCCTTGGCCTCCCAAATTGCTGGGATTACAGGCGTGAGCCACCAAGCCCGGTCCTGTTGTGTTTTTTTTTTTTTTTTTGAGAGAGAGTCTTGCTCTGTTGCCAGGTGCCAGGCTGAAGTGCAGTGGCACAATCTTGGCTCACCGCAACCTCCGCATCCTGGGTTCAAGCAATTTCCTGCCTCAGCCTCCCCAGTAGCTGAGACTACAGGCGCACGCCACCACACCCAGCTAATTTTTCGTATTTTTAGTAGAGATGGGGTTTCATCATGTTGGCCAGGATGGTCTCGATCTCTTGACCTGGTGATCTGCATGCCTCGGCCTCCCAAAGTGCTGGGACTACAGGCTTGAGCCACCGCGCCCGGCTGCATTTTCATGTTTTTTTTATGTCTCAACGTTGATATCTGTGTATCTGGTGGACCAGTTGGTTATCCAGTTTTATGGATTGGCTTTTGTAGGTAAAGACTTTTTTCCTGTAAATCTGTCTATAGTGTTGGCTGGTTAGGGTGCTTTCCCTTTAATTTTGGATATGTGCAGTAATTTAGTCTCTGTATTATTTCTTTGACTGTAATCAATGCCAGTGGTGTTTGTGAGTTCCTCAGTGGCTTAGGTTGTTAGCAGAGGCTGTGTCAAGGCTTTTCTGATGATGTGGATGCCAGGCAGGCTGCTCCTGCAGCCTGTGGGTGGTATGTATGTGCCTTTGGGTTGTGGTAGTGGGCAGGGTGTGATGGTCATCAGGTCCCTGGGTAGTATATGCAGGAGCTGGCATTGATGGTGGGGTGCCTGCGTGGGTTGGTCTGAAGGGAAACGTTTTGTAAGTAGTACTGAGAATACGGGAATGGACATTGAAGAGTTCTTGCTGGAAAGGAAGGAACTAATATCCTAGAGTTTCTGTGATATTCCAACCTCATCACATAATTCATTATCTAACTCAGCACCTATAGATGGAAGTGGTAGTATCCTAGTTGTAAAGATTAGGAAATTAATAAGGCCAAAGTAACTAACTTGTCCAAAGTAATCCAAGTAGTAGTGGGAGAGTCAGGATTCAAAATGAGATCTTCATCTCTGACGCCTATGCTCTTGTGGTATGCCAGGCTGCCTCCATTTTCACAACATGAGGTTGACTTAGTTTATCAAATATATTAGTAAATGAAAGAGTAACCACACGGAATAAGCAAGAAACATTTGGCTTAGTCAACAAGTTTATATTCACAGAGTTCTTGCAATGCATTATTATCTAATACATATTAAATGATGAACTATCCTCTTCAAGAAGTTCTTCTTGAATAAAGGAGGTAAGGGAAACATAATCAATCG